CCATTTTCTTAAATTCATTCCCACATTTTGTAATTCTTGGGATATCAATTTAATTAAATTATTGGCCTTTTCTATAGAGTCAGCCCCAGTCATTAGGTCATCCATATAAAAATCATTCCTAATTATCTCACTTACATCTTTGTTTTTGCATTTATCAGCAATATCTACTAGAACTCTAGTAGCTAAATATGGTGCAGATGCTGTACCATATGTGACTGTTGTCAATTTATAATTTTTAATTTTTTCATTTGGAAAATCTCTCCATAAAATATATTGATACTGTTGATCATTATCATTAATATTTATCTGACGATACATTTTTTCAACGTCCGCAGATACTACATATTCCCATTTTCGCCATTTAATGATAATGTCAAAAATATCTTTTTGAACTCGTGGACCAACCCACATTATGTCGTTCAAACTTTTATTATTAGTTGTTTTAGCTGAAGCGTCAAAAACAACTCTTAATTTGGTCGTCAGGCTTGAATCTCTAATTACTGCCTGGTGAGGTAAAAAGTATTTTCCTTCTCCCTGCACTTCGACCATGTGACCTAAATCCATATATTCATGCATGAATTTAGCATAGTCTAACCTTAGTTTTTCATTTCTTTTTCATTTTTTCTCAAGATTCATGAAACGAGCCATTGCTTGTTTCTTCGAGTCTCCTAAGGGGACATCATCTTTAAATGGAATTGACACAATGTATCGACCATCTGAACCTTTTTTTGTAGTTTTTATGAAATAATTCTCACATATTTCAGATTCGATATCATTTTTGTCCTCTTCCTCAATTTCCGATCCATATCTTTTAATTCGATGGTGGTTGCTACAATTGTCTTCTTACCTTTGGATTTTTTGCATCCAGAGACAATCCACCAGAAATCGGTTTTTTGACCGAGGAGGCCATTCATTTTGACCACTCCATTCTGCAGAATGTGAGTGTATAGATCTTATTTAAGTCTGGGTCAGCCAAATTGTACTTCTCCCACTTTGTTTTGTCAACATTAACTGTGTTGACTGGGAGAGCCCTCATAAGTTTTGGAAGTATAAGTGCTTCAACTCTTATCGTTTTTTGGGAATTATTTCGTTTAATTGAAAGATTTACCTTGTGCTTCGAGATGCACTTTCCCGTGGACGATACTGACTCCACTGATCTCTGTTTGAGACCGAATTTTGGGCAATTTCAGAATCTGCGCAGATTCTTCTGAAATTATTGTGCTTTGAGAATTACTGTCGATCAAAGCTCTAAAATTTTCGAAACCTCCCTCAGAGGTTTGAATTTGAATGCGTGCTGTAGCTAGCAATGCTTGTTCCGATGTCATACACGAGTTTACTTTATTTTCATTCGTTTTTTCAACTTTTTGGTCTGTTTTAGACTTGACGTAAATGTGTAGCATACTATGGTGATTTTTCTTACAAATCGAACATGAAATGTCACTTTGACATTTCTTACTATATGAATGTTTAAGGCATTTAAAACACAAATGTGCCTTTTTTACTTTTTCCATCCGTTAAGATGGATTCAAAGCCTTAAATTTTTGACACTGTAGTATCAAATGTCCCGTACTTTTGCACATCGGACAACTGTTAGTAGACAACAACACTTTTTACCAGGTTTTTCATCCTGAACTGAGCTAATCGAACTGAGTCGTTCCTCTAAAAATTCAATGACATCGGACAATGCTTGAATTTCTTTAGTTTTTTTAACATGGATCTCATATAGTTGTAGAGCTTCTTTGTTAAATTTTCTTATTATTATGTGTGCAAAAACTATATCAACCTCGTCAGAAATTTGTGCCTTTAATTTTATCATGTGAATTGACTCATTAATTGTGTCAATAAACATTCTTAATTGCCGCACTGATTCCACATTTAGATTTTGGAAATCAAGAAGGCGATTAATCTGATCGGAAAAAATTTTCCTTTTATTTTCATACCGCTTGGTTAACAATTCCCATGCGGCCTCATAGTTTTCACCTGATCCCAACAATAAGTGAGAAACCACATTCCTGGCTTCTCCCTTTAGTGAGATTTTAAGGTAATTAAATTTTAAGGAAGGACTGAGCTCCTCCCTTAAATATATGAGTTCATTAAATAACTCATAAAATAGTTCCCAATCTTTGGAATCTCCATAAAATGTGGGTACCTGAATTTTAGGTAACGTTGGCAAATCATCAATTTTATGATTTCCAACTTCTACCTTACTAGGCACAATTTCCTCGAGTTTTTTTCTCATATCTTTGGTCACCATGGAAATATCGAATGCTAATTCTTCAAATATATCATCATACCTTTTAATCGTGACGTCCGTAGTGTTTCCCTGCTTTAAAAGAACTAGCTTATCCCAATAAAAATTTATCTTCCCAATCCTAATTTCAAAAGTTTTAATTTTATCGTTTTGAATGTCCTCAAATGTGTCTTTTAAATACCTTTCTAACTGCTCAATCATTTGATTCTATTTTCTGCTCGTTTGCCATTAATTTTCCCTCGGACTTATCAGAATCAGCTAACACTTTATCTATTCTTACTTTAATTCTATTAAAAATCGAGAGCATTTCTTCAAAATGACTCTTTACAAAGTAGTCATGGTCGACTACTCCAATATGTACCAGAGCTTTATGGTTTTGGATGCACTTGGCTTTCAGCTCATCAAATTTCTTCAAATATTCAAATGATAAGCTTGGGAGAACTTCCAGCGACGTAAGGCCGTTGGTAATCTCCACCTGCCTTTTTATAAGTGCGATAGTTTGATCGGACAACATTTTTGCTATATACTTTTTATACTCCAAAAAATTATATTAACCGACTTAAATTACCGACAACTTATATAATATTATTATAATATATATTACTTATCTGATCCTATTTATATTTTATGGTTGCCGCTGCTGTCGTCGCTGCTGACTCTATGATGTTCGTTGTTTTTGCCGCTGTCGATTAAAGTTGACTTTGGTAGATTCTGTCCTCGATATTGTAGTTGTAGTTGTAGTCGTAGACGTGCTGAAGTCCTTAAAGTCCTGGCGTCCTTGTATGCAGGTTAGGTGTTCTATAGATGATTTATGATATTTTTTTTTGTTGTTGTTTCTCTTTCGTTTTTATATTGGGAGTCACTTATTTTTGGGATCACTTTGGGGTCACTTTGATATTATTATACTCGTTATTTTTCCAATAAATTTGGGAGTTACTTTTTTATTATTATACCCGTTATTTTTTCAATGAATTTGGGAGTCACTTTTTCGATGTCGGCCTCGAATACGCCTGATTTTATTAAATCACTTTTTCGATGTTTGAAGGCCTTGAAAACGCCAAAAATAATAATTGCTCGATGGCAAAATTATTTTTATTTTGTAATTTGTCGATTTCTCGACCACTTTCACAACAAACTTGGACTTTTTGTTGCAATACTATAGTTGAATTAATTTTTTATTATATCAGAAAAGATTCTTTTATATCTTTTTGATTTTTATAAATTTTTTACTCTGTTTCTTACCACTGGTGGGGGATAACCAGAGTCAACTATTCATTAACACCTTAAACAAAAACTGCAAGTGTTACAGATTTTATTTTTTAGGTGCTGGCCTAAGTTCTGAGTCTCTTACCACTGGTGGGGAAAACTGCAGAGTTGTCGAAGGACCAAAATGAAAGGGATGAATTAATAAAGCAACCTATTCCGTTGAGTTCTGTATTAAAACTGCATTTTATTTTCTAAGTCCCTGCTTAGGAAACTAACATGAAATTCTTATTCTGCTCTTATCTGTGGAGAGTTATCATTTGACCCCACAGGAACCTTTGGCGCAGTGTGAGAAGCATCTCAAGTGATTATCTTCGGTTTGGCTCAAGTAGCCTGCACTTACATATTACAAGTGCTAGCACCGCTCCCCTGTAGGGTCTACAATTACAGATCATAGTTTATGGCTCTGGATCGATTTACAACTGTCACATGACATGCACAGAGCTCATAAAGTATTATATTTTTTTTTTATTAGTGTTCGTCTAAACATCCTCCAAAAAATATGTTGCGGGCCCTTTCGACGAGTCCCCTGGCACTCTGAGGAACCACACCTTGAATAAGAAAAGTTTTTATACTGGTGACACTAACTGACTTTATCAAAGTCTATGTCGAGAGCGCGGTTTCACGTGGGATCGGCCAGATCCGCAAAATGGCACCTACTGACTATTGGCTTGGTCTACAAAAAAGGTCGCCACCCGTTCTGCCTGCCTAACCTATCGAGGACCCCCATCTACTTACAGCCGGTTCCAACTTGAAATGCAACAATTTTTTTTTTTAGGTAAGCAAATTTGTCAAGGCATCGATTCCCTTAACTTACAAGACGTATAGCATCAATTCCACTAAATTTCGGTACGCTTTTCGTCATTCTCCAAATAATACCTTTTTGAGAATTTTTTCCACGATATCGAACTTTTTAGGAATTTGAGCTTATTTTATTTTTGATTTTTATGCTCAAAAGGATTTGTTGCTCCACAAAATAATTGTTTTTTAGTTTATTTTGGTCTATCGAGTTGTTTATTTTTTAGAATTTTGTTTTTTTACTATTTTAGATACTTAAATCTGAAAATTCAAATATTGTTATGGTCCTATTAAAAAGTGTTTGTTTTATAATTAATATGACGTTATCTTATTGAAATACGAAAGACGCTGGATTCTGTCCAAGTTTAAGGGCACTTCGAATTAAATTTTGGCCTAAAATGTCTTTATAAATAAATTTTTAATTTTATCTTCCATAAAGACCATTCGACCCATTCCACCTGCAGCTATACACCCCTAAACCATCACATTCTTGCCAACGTGAGTAACAGAAATTTTTGACTTTAAAATGACCGCCGTGTCCAAAATTTTTAATTTTTAATTGGTCAACAAGTATACATATTTTTTGTGTTACATTTCCTGCCGTTCCTGTCGATAGGCTAAGGACGTAACGTAGTCACTCCTGCATTAATTAACAGCATTTTTTTTTTTTTTTTTTGGGATTTAAAAAATACTGTATATAAGTAAATTAAGATCTTATACTTATATTATTTATATTATATATGCATGTATGTAAGTAGGTGTAGCATTACTTTAGGTGTGAGATACTCACTGAAACCGGTAAAAAAAAAACGGTACAACTACAAACGGACTTTATGCAGACTGCACTTTACCAAAGCGTTATTATAATCTTCAGCTACAAAATTTATTTAAATTATCAAGATATCGCAAATTTTGGTTTTTGGCAGAAAAAATGTACATACAATATTTCAAAAAAGTTTGTATATTATATTTAAAACACACTGGTCACACTGAATATTTTATTTATTCGTGAAAACTAAAACTGTGGCTTGTGATGACCATGTCTAGGTTCAGTGGAGCCTTACAACTCGCCGATATGGACGACTTTATTACACCATCGCAGGTTTAATTCAACAAAGAACTGAGCTATATACACAAATTAATATTGTTTTAATTTCATTTAGATATGTACTAAACCTATTTCTATAGATAAGGCAAAAACGAAAACTGGGTCAAAAATTACCATAAACGGAGACATATGTTTTGAAGAATTTGAAGTGGGTATCTTCCGAAGTATCACGAATTTATATTTAAAGTCGATAATATTATTACAGAATAAAAAGCAAAATCTTAAGAAGGTTGAGATCTCTCTTCAAGACTGCTTAGCCTGCTCCGGTTGTATCACATCCTCCGAAGGCGTTCTGATTACACAGCAGAGCCAGGACGAGCTGCTTAAGGTTCTTCGTGAAAACTCAAAAATAAAAGCTTCAGGAGACTGCGATAATGTTCGCACGATTGTGTTCACAGTGGCTACCCAACCGCTGTTGAGCTTATCCCATCGCTATCAAATAAGTGCGGAGAAGACTGCGCGCCACCTAGCCGGATACTTTCGCAGTTTGGGAGCCGATTATATTTTATGCACCAAAGTAGCTGATGATCTAGCACTTCTCGAATGCCGGCAGGAATTTATGGAACGATACCATGAAAATAAAAACTTAACCATGCTCAGCTCTTCTTGCCCGGGATGGGTTTGTTACGCAGAGAAGACGCATGGGAACTTCATATTACCTTACGTATCAACCACCCGATCACCTCAGCAAATAATGGGAGTGCTAGTGAAACAATTTCTGGCCAAAAAATTAAATATTCCTGGGTCGCGAATCTATCACGTCACCGTGATGCCTTGCTTTGACAAAAAGCTGGAGGCTTCTCGAGAGGATTTCTTTAGCAAAACCAATAACTCACGCGACGTGGATTGTGTTATTACATCAGGTTATTTGGGTCAAGACCAGTGTGTTTATTAAAATAATAATGCTATGTTTTATAGTTGAGGTGGAGCAGATGCTTACTGAGGACGAACGTACATTGACGCAGTACGACCCCGAAGATCTGGACTGGCCTTGGTCTGATACAAGGCCAAATTATATGGTGTGGGCTCACGAGGCAACACTATCTGGCGGTTATGCAGAGCATATTTTCAAGTTCGCCGCTAAAGAGCTTTTCAACGAATTCACTCCAAAAGAGCTGGAATTTAAACAACTTAAAAACCGCGATTTTCGGGAAATTATACTTGAGAAGAATGGCAAGGCCGTCTTGAAATTTGCTATAGCTAACGGGTTCAGAAACATACAAAATCTTGTGCAAAAACTTAAGCGGGGAAAATTGGTTAAGTACCACTTTGTAGAGGTCATGGCGTGTCCTTCAGGGTGTATAAACGGAGGTGCACAGGTACGCCCAACCACCGGGCAGCATGTCCGTGAACTGACGCAGCAACTGGAAGAGTTGTACCAAAAGCTTCCACTCTCCCAGCCCGAAAACTCAACAACAAAACACATATACTGCGATTTCCTAGATGGCTTTCAAACGGAAAAGTCTTATGAGCTTCTTCACACAAGTTACCACGCAGTAGAAAATCAATTCGGTGCGTCTTTAAACATTAAGTGGTGAAAGAAATTTACGAAATTATATTTGTTAGATTTTTGATTCGTAACGAAGAATTAGTTTGATGAAACAACAAGTAATGTAAAATATAAATAGAACCTAATAAATTCATATCCAAAAAAGTTCTGATTCTGGCGGCTCTAGAAAGTTTTCAGGCTTATCTATTTACAGGAACGGATAGTTAAATAACATCCATCTATGTATACCTAAAATGGTATCGGTTGTCATTGAAAAGAATTTTTTCTATGTTGGTGGTGGAAGTGTGCCACCTTTTGTCAAAAAAAAATGTTTAGTAACTGATGGTGACTTCACTGTTCATGTGGGGTTTTATAACCTTCATTCCTTCATAAATAGAGATGTTCCCATTTCAAAAACCTTTGGTAAATCGATAGATATTGACAAAAAAGTTTATACAAGTTTTTCTGCGGTTTGTGGGCGTGTAAGGAGAGTGGTTGCAGTGGCAACTATAGAATATGTGTGCCTAATTCGAACTTTTTTACTCTTATTTTGAAAACAGATGAAAACTCGCGACGACGACTCGTGAGGTGCAGTGCAATCTCTTAAATACGTATTCTTAATCTCAACTTTCTAGCTCTTATAGTTCCCGAGATATGAGTTTTTCAACAAAACGCAAAAACAGTCTTTCGGGCTCGTTGGGAATAAGAGTGGAGAGTATAAGACAAGCCGAAATAAGCGCTCGCCATTCGCCGATCGCTCGGCTCACCCCTTAACATTCCTTCTTTATCGCTGTAGAAACGCAGTCGCAGCGCTGCTCAAATAAAACATTTCGTCCAATTATAAATAAAAAAAATATCTATAAACAGGTGGCATAAATTACTCACTTTGTTTTTTATTTCATGGGATGGATGGAGGTGGGGGTAATATAAATATTAGATGCTGAAGTTTCCAGTAAACAGTATAGATTAAGTAACTGAAGAGAGATAACAGAAAGATTATATATTTTTAAAATATACTTTATCTAAATTTATACAGGTTACATTAATTAATGTGTTAGCACAGTTAACAAAAGCGAGATCTGTATTGAAAAAAAAGTGTGATGACCTCAAAACAAAAGCTAGATCTGTATTGAAAAAAAAGTGTGATGACCTCAAAACAAAAGCGAGATCTGTATTGAAAAAAAAGTGTGATGACCTCAAACAAATTAAAAATCAAAGCGTTATAGAGTTGGAAAATAAAAAGCAGACATTTTTAAAAACATATAAGGGAGCCACGGTTACACGTGAATTATACCAAATATATCAATAACGATAATTGGAGCTTTCATTTTAAATTCCGATGGTGTTAAAAATGGTTGCGACTCACGACATATTTTAACGGGACAGAAAAGTTAATTAATTATTAATTATTCTTGGTTCTTTCACGTTTTTCTTTGAACCCATTGTAGATTGAACTGATTGCACTAAAAATGTTCGAAGGCTTTTGTTTTTAAATGTTCTAGTAGTATCGTACATATAGGTCGACGGATTCGTTATCTTTACTTTTTTTCCTCATCATCTTCCCTTTACATTTCATTTTTGTTTTAATAGTCCCATTCCAAATTTTTTCTTTGCTTTATAATGTTGGTTACAAAATATGCTGTTGCTTTTTCACCAAGAGTGATGTCTGGTGCTTTTACACGTGACCAAGCTTTATCAATTAATATAGAATCTGCAATTTGACGGTCAACTAAATCATTTTTATGGGAATATGCTATATCGTGCTTTTTACAAGCCTCATCCAGTTTATTTATTGCTTGATCTTCTCGTTTCAAACGTTTTTCTTGCTTTGTACCCGGCCCACAAAATTTATATCCCGGTATATGGGCTTCAAACGGTAATAATTAAGTTGTTGACAAGACCACCACCTCGATTACAATTAAAAAGAATAATAAGTTGATTATAAAAACGTTTCCCCATTATATTGATGTTTGAATCATCAAAGAATTCTCATCGAATAAGGTACATTAGCTTAGAGAATGCGTTAAATACGATGAAAATTATAAAAATTAACCTTTTGGAGTCTTGTCAAAATATACACGTAATGCAACCCCCAAGACCAGCCCAGAGTAGAATCCGCCAAGCGGCTTATCATGCAAGTGGATCAAATCAGTCTTCTCGCGACTGTATATATTGTCAAGGATGTCGTAAATCGCCGCACCTTTGCCAGGGATACTAAGCCTTGTTTTAATTGCCTAAGTCGATCTCATCAAGTCAATAATTGTAATTCTTCGAACACTTGGCGTCAGTGCAACGCTAAGCATCACACGCTAGACCACCCGGAAGAGTCTAGATCGATTCCGTTGGCCTCCGCCCATATGTCTGCGGCTGAGGTTAATATATTTCCTTCGATTGATCCTGATGCTGGTATGAATAGTGCTGCTGTCAGACATCATACAATCAAGCCCTACTGCCAACTATTCTAGCCAATGTAATTGACACATGTGGCAACAAGACCTCATGTAGGATATTGCTCGATACTGGATCAACAATAACCATGGTAGCTGAGTCGTTTATCCAACGGATTGGAATTCCACGCACGCATGCTCGCATCCCAGTTGTTGGATTAGGTGCTAACCCGGCTGGAGCTAGCCGAGGTCGCGCTAGCTTCACTTTGCTTTCAAGGACCACGACTGCCTCATTGGAGGTCTCTGGCCTAATTATGAGTTCTCTGACTTCATTGATTCCCGCTCAGCAGGTCAAATCCACCGCTTCTGTCTGGACCAAGATTCGCAACTTACCTTATCACCGGGAAAAATCGACGTTATTTTAGGCGCTGATCAACTGTGGAACATCTTACTGGACATCGCCGAGAGTTTGGTATTGAATACCCCATTGCACTACCACACAGTGTTTAAACCGGATAGCACCACTACCCATTGCCGAGTTGTATTTGACGGCTCAGGAAAGGACTCCAAGGGTCATTTGCTTAACTAACGACTGCACATAGGCCCACCTATTCAAAGAGATTTGAGTATGCCTTCGCTTCCGTCAGCATCTTTATGTATTTTACGCTGACATTGAAAAGATGCTTAGAGGCATTTTGGGGTCAGACGAACACACGCAGTATCAACGCATAGTTTGGAGAAAGGAGGACAACGCAACGATAGATCATTATCGACTGCTGACCGTAACCTACGGTTTACGGCCCACTGGATGCGACCAAGTTCAGGGTCTTATTGCCCTCAAAGATGAGTTAATTTCTCTTCTAAGCAAAGCTCAATTCAACCTTCGAAAGTGGAGCTCAAATTGTTACGCTCAATTGAAGTCGTTGCCCAAGGAGATTTGTGAGTATCCGCTAGAAGCTTTAGAGAAGGACAGTTAATTTCGATTTGTTAAAGTGCTAGGACTGGCTTGGGATCCAAAAGCTGACTGTATTTTCTTCAAGCTAGAAATCACTGGAATTACAACCGCTCTTACCAAACGCATTCTGCTTTCGGAACTAGCCAAGTTCTACGATCCGCTGGGCTTGCTTGCACCCACAACTGTGTGTCTAAAGATTCTCTTTCAAGATAGCTGGCTGAGTTCTGTACTACCTGCCCAATTATGTACACGGTGGCAACAGTTCGTATCGCAAATGCATTTATTGGAGTACCTCGATACATATCAGCACCGCTTCAAACAATGGCACTGCACGGATTTGCAGATGCATCATCCCAGGCATATGCTGACGTCATCTACAGTCGCGTCGAAGTCAATAATGGATATGCTGTTAATTTGATAATGGCAAAAACTCGCGTGGCGCCTATTAAGCCTGTTTCCATTCCGCGGCTGGAGCTAAACGCAGCCCATTTGCTCTCTAAGTTGATTTTCCTGGTCAAGCAATCATTAACTGTTCCTATTTCCAGAATAAATTGTTGGTCAGACTCTGAAATAGTACTGCATTGGCTATCATCTCCTCCCCGGACCTGGAAAACTTATGTTTGCAACCGCACTGCAGAAATCTTAGAGTCGTGCCCACGTAGCTGCTGGCAACATATTCGAAGTGGCGATAACCCTGCAGACTGCGCATCCCGAGGAATACTTCCAAAGGACCTTTTAGATCGTCCAATCTGGTGGAAAGGACCAGCTTGGCTATCTCAGTCTCGCTCAATTTGGCCACCCGTTAAGGCTAAGTTTGTTCTGTCGACAGAAGAAGAGGCATACCTGGAGGTAAAAGCCGATCCTAAGGTTAATCTACACATTTCCGACGACGGAAACTCACTAACTTTTATGATTAACAAAACCTCTTCATGGTCTCGTTTGTTGAGGATACTCAACTACTGCTTTCGTTTCGTTCATCGTCTTCGTGGGAGGAATCAACTTTGGCCATTTCTGTCGGCGTGGGAGCTAAAGTATGCCCGGTCTAGGATATTCACCCATGTTCAAAAGGAATCCTTCAAAGTGGAATACAAGCAGTTAAGCACCGGACAGCCACTAAAAAGAACTCGAAGTTGATCCGTTACACTCCTTTCTAAGACGAGCAGAGTGTACTACGTGTTGGTGGTCGCATCGATAGTTCTATGGCTAATTATGATGCAAAACACCCCATAATCCTGCCTAAGGAATCCCCAAACGCTGATTTATTAGTTCAACATCAAAATGCTACATCGCTACATGCTGGTGTCGAATACACTTTTCATAGTCTACGACAAAGGTATTGGATTCGAGGAGCTCGAAACATTGTACGCAAAACCGTATTTAATTGCAGAACTTGCTTCTTGCAATGACGACATACGAGTTCTCAACTTATGGCTGACCTACCCGCGTTTCGAGTTCAACCCGCCCGCTGCTTTCTTCACAGAGGATTGGATTATGCTGGACCTGAGACGATCAAAGCCTCTACAGGTCGGACACAAAGATTTGGCAAAGCTTGGTTTGCCATCTTCGTTTGTCTCTCAACAAAATCGATACACATTGAATTGGTCAGCGATTTAACAACATCCGCCTTTATAGCCGCTTTCAAACGCTTTTGGTGTCGACGAGGGCCCATATCGGACATATATTCGGACAATGGCACAACTTTTCATGGAGCCAAACGAGACTTAGCTGAATTGCAACGGATTGCAATTGCCCAAGCTCATAGCGAAGAGATCTTCGAACTTCTTGTCGAGTCACGAAATCAATTGGCATTTAATC